ATTTGGCGTTTAATTTGTTGGTCTGAAAGCCTCAGTGGTATTTCACCTCATTGTACACTGAATTCTCCCGCCAGAAAAAAAAACTGTTCTAATAAATTTAAAAAAGAATCTATTTGCAAATAATTTCTAAAATGTTTTCCCAAATGGTTGTTTCCTATTTGAACTGTAAACTTTTTTAAAAATTATTTTATCACTCTTTAGTTGTCCTCGTTGTTGCACGGTTCGTCCTTTACTGTGACTCGGCAGTGATGGCGTTAACAGTAAAAAGTTATTTAGCTAAATTACTATTGCTGTTTGCGTTACATTTGAGCTTTCGTATAATTTTCATGAACGAATGCTCGTTTTTTGATATGAAGTTGTAATAATTTAATTTGTAGATTATTTTAAAATGTCTGCTCCTCCACCGTATGAACAGAAGCCATATCCACAACAGCCATATCCTCCACAACCGTATCCACAGCAGCCATACCCTCCACAACAGTACCCGCCACAGGTATTCATTGTATTTGTGCACTTTGTCATGAAACCATTCAGAAAAATTGTAATAACTCTCTAAAGTACCCGTATAATTTTTGATTTAATTTAGTATTATTTTGTTTAGCCCGGATTCAATCAGCCTTACTACCCTCCTCCAAACCAGGGATATCCTCCTCCGCAGCCCGGTTACGGTTATCCTCAGCAACCGCAAGTTGTGTAAGTTTTTTTTTATCATACTGAAAGTTATTTGATTTAAAGAGGTCAGGCTTTTAAGAAATAAACTGCAAAAAAACTGCAATAAATTGGTGATTTTTGTTTGGTTGTTCGTGGTCACTCGGGACATACTTTCTTATGTTGGAGGGAAACTGTAATTAGGAGGGATAAGTCATTTTTTGTTATCAGTATTCTTCTTGATGAGTTATAAGTTGGAAATTCCTAATAAAGACATGCATCTGTTGCTTCTACTTGGTTACTTCTTTATATGCATGAGGGAGAGTGAATTAAAAGAGGTGTTGGTGTTACAGTTATCAAAAACATCTTTTTTTTTTTTGCTGATAATAAAGTTTCTTTTAAACAAAGGCATTTTGTCGAAAAAATTAATACTCGAGTTACGAGGCAAAAGAGAATGGTAAAAAAACTGTAGACCATTGACATCTAATTTAGCAATATTAATTTTTTCAAAGAAGAAATTAGATGTAATGCATGAGTAAGTTTTCTGAGCACGATATTTGGTTAAGGGAGGTTGCAAAATTACTGGTAGAATTTCTTGGTCTCAGTTACTGTAAACGTTGCAGTTGTGAATCTAAGATATTTATGAATCGGCAAGGTTTTAATTTTTTGGTAACTAGGGTTAGAAAAGTTTCTTTTTGAGCTTTTGTTTATCTATTTTTTGAAACACTGAAACTTGTTCAATCTTTAAAAAGGCAACAAGAAAGATTGCTGAAGGGGGTATTCAATCTTGCTTTGCGAAGGTAAGATATGGTTTCAGCTAGAAAATGTAATGCAGTCAAGATAAAAAAAGCCATGTTTAATTTATCTTTTTCGCGGGGCTTACTCACTTAGTTACTCGACCATGCGAAAGGGGATTTTCCAGTTGTCAAACATTTTTTAATTATAATGTTAGCTTTGAACTTCTTTGATGGGTTTTTTGCACACTCGTGACAAATTTTGGAAATTATTTTCTCTCACAAAACTGAATAGCTGTTGGCGAAAAGCATTCGGGTTACTAGAGACAGATTCTAATAGTTTTTGGTTCTTTATTAGGTGTTGCTTAAAATTCAGACGTGTTTCCCGGTAATTAACCTTTCTAAGTATGTACACAAAGTTTTGCAAAGTTTCTCATACGCTGTTGTAACGGAGAGTTTTTCAAAACTGTTATGCTTGTTTGTACTTATTCGTGTTTTGATGGGCTGATATGATTAAAGAATTTTATAGGACTGTAGAACGAGAATGCCATCATGGCGGAGGATCAAGTGCAAATAACTGTTGCCTGTGGGCTCTGTTGGCTTGCTGTTGCGGGTGTTGTTTAGCCGACTGCTGTGACTGAGGACAAAAACTGCAAAAGTTAATTTTCGACTTACATTGTTATGATTACTTACAACTACTCCATATCACCTTCTGCCTCGAGTTCTTTATGTTTTCATCTGGTTTTTTTCTTCTAGTTTTTGATTACTTATTTTTTCCCTATTTTGCTTGGCAAGTTGACGTTTTCGCAGGGTCTCTTTTGATTATACAGTTGTACGTGTTGGATTAGAGTGATAGAAGGAAACTTGAACTGGAAAAATTGAGTTTCTCCGGCTGGGCATATGAAAGAGGGAAAGGAGGAGGCAAGAACCCAGCTTTCTTTCGAAACGATGTCTGAATATTTAACACAGTTTTCACTTATTGAATTTTTTCTTGTACGATATTTTGTTTACATGATTATCGTCTCAAAGCTTTTAACCATTAATTGTATCATCTGACCTTACTTAGTTTCGTTGTCACTTTTTTCCCTGTGATAGGTGTATAATTTTTTGTGTGTTTATTCGATGCTGGATTGTGTTTTCTGTGTAGCTTTAACGCTCGTAATTTCTACCGTGATTTCAAATGAAAATGTTTAAAAAATTTTTTTATTGCAACTTCTGTAATAAAAAAATATATTGAGAATTCATGAGAGAAAATGGAATAAACTCAGCGATTTTAATTAAGTAAGGTATTTTATTAATTCTGGTCTATTTTTACTGTTTATTTATGCAGTTTTAAATTGCAATTGTGGACACTCTTCGATAGAAGAAAGCACTTGCTTGCAGCCAACTTGAAACAGTTGTTGGTGGTACCGGAGTTTAGACAGTGGGTCAGGAACTATAGATGTAGCAAAAAACTGCGACGGGTGGATCAGTTCAACTCTTCTAGCTTCCAAAAAGAGATACATAAACACGAAATCGGGGCAATAAATTGTACTGCAAAGTCAATTCCAAAAAGTAAAGGAGGTGTGAATGGTTTGTAGGTGGGAGCCCCACGCTTTATATAAGTACTCCTTAGAGTAACAACATTTGTAGTAAAAACGTTTAAAATGAAATGGAGTTTTGTCTGGTAGAGGTAAATTTTGAGTACAGAAAGTACACAAGAGGAACTTGATGTACGTATATTTCTCTAATAACGGTACACCTGGGAATTGCATTGTGCTTCATGTCGACAAACTCATAATCGGAATTTTTAGTCGCGTGTCTGGCTGTTAGCAAAACGTAGATTTGCTAGTGCTAGGAGTCCTTAAGTTGTAAAGGTTTTTGCAAGAAGGGGAACAGTTTAAAATAAAGACCTATCCGAGTGATACGCGAGGACTAATACTTTAACCTCAGGTAAGTCGACGACTTCGATTCTGAAAGTTAAGGTGTACAGAAAAGGTCTATTGGAGATCATAGGTGATTCAGCTTGAAAATTTAAGTCACAAATACGAAGAAGGCCACGTTGAAAATTTGGCTAACGTGCGTTCAAGAACGGCGATTCTCAGAAAATCAACAAAAATAACAATGCTCAAAAAGGTCAGAAGTGAAGTTGGTTTAGAATCTAGTTTTCTAATACCCAAATTTTAAGTAGAAGCTTTCTTTGAAACATCCGGTTTTCATTTCTTTTCTTTAAAGCGGTCCATGAGAAAAGCAAAGTTTTGAAATCGAGCCGATTTTGATTCGGCTATGGATCACTTCGTCGCTTTCCACCTATTCCTTTTTTTTTGTCTAGAAGGGTTTTAGTAAAAGCAACTAGAAAGAAACTTGCGTGGAAGCTTATTTTAAAGATAAAAGACAAGTCTGAGGGTAACACTAATGCATTAGGATTACTAGCGATAAAAGGACAGATTAAGGAATCCAGTTGTTTCATATATTAGCACAACTAAAGTGACTGTTCATTTCCTCAAAATCTTAAAGCTATATTAAAGAGATAAATTAGTTGTAAGCCCACAGACTGTCAACTTTTATTTCTTTTACAAGTGTTCAACAACGCTGGCAAATAAAAATGTCTCATTGGAAACAGAGAATGAAGAAGAGACTGGTGAATGATAAAAACTGTAAGAAATTTTAGCAGTTAACTTCTTGTTTGCTTTTTTTCTTTCGTACAGTAGAAGACCTTGTAATCGTACTGCAACAGCATGTAGTAATATCTGCTACAGTTAGATACATGACTACTTTATATTCAGCTTGATATGGAACAAATCATGACTTGTTGTTACACATGATAAATTGTCTTTGTTGTGGAGATATAAATATTCATTGAAACTCAAGCTACTATTTGAAAATTGTTCATCGTTTTTTTTTTTTTT